TGGTAGTGCGACATGGAGCTTGCGGACTGGGCACGGGATTGAGATTTTGAATGGAAACGTATATCCGTCTTGTAACTGTTTTTGCTTAACCCTACGCGGGGTCGCTCACATGGGCCCCAGGCGCGCGACCTGGGCCGCGGCCGCCGCCGCCGGTCTCCACTCGCTGCTCGCGATAGGCCTGTGGGCGTCGCCGATCCCGCCGTCCTGCCCGCCGCCAGCGTGCGTGGCGGCCTCGTGCACGGCCTGCCCGGACCGTCCCTTTCCTCGCGTGGAACGCTTCGGTGCTCGAGGCCCTCGCGGAGGCGGCGGCGGCGGCCCCAGACGTTGGCCCTCCCGGGGGCCCTGCGGTTCCCTGCCTGACCCCGGAATCAGGGGAGCTGGGCGAGGTGCGGGGTTTGTTGCTGCACCTGGGCGATCAGGTGGGCTCGATCGTCGCGGGGGCCGAGAGCGCCTGGGTCGCATGGCCGGCCGCGCGGGCCATCGGCGGGGGGCTCGCCCAGGCCACTCTGGGCCAGATCCGCGGCTGACAGGCGCGTCGTCGCGATGCCCCCGGCGCCAGGAAGCATCAACTATTGCGGGGGCCTCACGGCCGGCGCCGCCGACCCTGAGTACGACGAAGATGAAAACGAGGGGGGGGGGGCAGAGGGGGGGGGCGAGTGGGAGGTGGGGGAAGGGTGGAGGAGGTGGATGAGGGAGGAGGAGGGGGGAGAAGGATGTGGAGGAGAAGCAAGAGGAGGAGAAAGAGGCAGAGGAGAGCAGGAGGAGGGGGCAAGAGGGGGGGGAGGAGGAAGTCGCGCGCCGTCCCGAGGCAGTCTTGGAGGATTCCTGGGCAGTTTGGGGCTCTCCTGGGCTGTATCGGAGCAGTTTGGGGGCCCTCTGGGAGCTTCATGGGGCCTCTCGGGGCTTCTTCGGGGCCTCTCGGGGGCCTCTTGGAGCTGAGAGCTCGAAATGTCCGTTCGGGCCCTTTGTCTGGGCGCTCTCCTTGAGCCGTCCTGGGGGCCTCTTGGGCCGTCTTGGAGGCGCATTGCGCCGTCTCGGGGCCCCCCCGTCCGTTGGGGGGCCCTCTTGGGGGCCTCTCGGGCCGTCTCGGGGCGAGCTCGGGGGCGTCTTTGGCCGCGTTGGCGCGTCGGGGCGCGGAAGAGGCAAGGGCGCCAAAATCTTTCGGAAACGCATTGGAAATACATGAACGTTGCCTCTTGGGGCTTTCGTAGGAAAGTTCCTGGAGCCCTCTCGGGGCGCTTTGCAGGCCTCTTGGGCCGTCTGGAGGCCGACGGGGCGTCTTGGACAGATCGTTCGGCGATTCGGGGTTCTCTTGGACTGTCTTTGGGGTCTCTCGGGGCACTCTTGGCCCGTTTGGGGGCTTTTTTGGGCACCGGGACTCCCAGGGGGGGCGTCGTATCTGACCCCCCCCGGGACCCCGCCCGGGGCCCCCCCCCCGGCGGGGGAGGGATCGAAGGGAAGGGGCTTGCTTCCCTTCGACTCAATTTCGACGTTGCTCAACTTTGTTTTGGCTGGCGCGCCGAGGAGGTCCCTGGGAAAGCCTTGGGCCTCCACCTTTCGTGCTATCCGTGTGGCCGATACGGATGCGTACTCATGTCTTTGTTTTTTTGTCGTTCACAACTGTCCCTTGTCCTTGTTTGTCCCTGATTGTCCCTGAAGTCACTGAAGTCCTCGTTTGTCAGTCATGTTTTGGGCGTGGTCGCTTGAGGACTCAATTGGTTGGCTGGTCGGTTGGTTTGTAATGAGCCTGGGATGCGTTGGCGGCTTCGCGTTGTCGTGTTGTCGTGTTGCCGTGGGCGTGTAGTTAGTGGTTGCTGTGCGACGTGTTGTCGTGCCGTCGCGTTGTCTGATCTAGAATTCCACGGAAGACTGCATACGCGACACGTTGTTTTTTGATCGTGCTCACTTGTCGACATGGTGGGATCATGCACGCCGTGAGCTCCGTAGTTTTTCTTGAAAATGAACACGTTTCGCATGGTTTGCCGTTCTCTGTGATTTCTTCAAGGGGGTACACGTTTTGTCGAATCGCTGCTGGGATATATTCATATAGCAATGAATTCATAGAGTTGCGAAGAATGCAACAAAAACGTAGAGGTCCACACATGACATCTCAACGGGGCTTTGGCAAGTCTGATTTGTAACGGTCCAGAGTGTCCAATGTTTCCTCGTAGCCGGCGCGGACGGTTCCCGGCAGCGGCGTGGATTGTCGAATTTCGGAAAATGGGGTCCAATGCCCACGCTTTCGGGCCCCGTGCAGGGCCCAATGTCCACGGCTTTGGGGCCGAATACAAAAACATATGGAAACACGCAAAAATCGGAGTTCCCAACAGTTGTTTGGAGTTCTTCTCTTAGGAGTAAGCAATTTCCTTGTTGGGCCTGGTTCGGCCAGATGTCCCTGAGTGCTGGGCTTGCGGGGAAAAGATGTCCGCCGATTTGGGCCGCGTTAGGTCCCCGATGCCCCCAATGATCACCCCCCCCCAGGCTCCCGATGTCCGCCTTTGCCCGCCCTGCAACGACCGCTCGCAAAGCCAAGGCGCAACGCCAAGCTGACAACATCTTACGACGGACATTGAGGGGCACATAGAAACCCAGACAATTTAATCATACCGATATGGATCTGCAAAAAATTGACAATCAAGAGGATACGCAATAATATAGATTAGGAGAAACAAACAGGCACATCAAACAGGGGGACACCGAGGGACATCGAGGAACATCGAGGAACATCGAGGGACAACGAGGGACAAACAGGGACGGACAAACAGGGGCATCGAATCACGGGGGCAAACAGGGACAAACAAGGACAAATCGGGACACCCAGGGACATCCAGGGACATCCAGGGACATCCAGGGACATCCAGGGGCATCCAGGGACATCCAGGGACATCCAGGGACATCCAAGGGCATCCACGGACATTCACGGACGTCGAACAGGGACAAAAAGCGGCATCCAGGGACATCCAAGGACAAAACGGGACCAAACATGACAATTTTGTGGTAGCACCTGGCTGTATCATACCAACGCAAACTAACGACATTTGATTGAAACAACAAAGAAATGATGCAAACCAGGCTGATTAAGGACCGCTCCCGAACAACACTGCCTAATCCCAGCAACGCGCGCACGGAATAGCATGGGAACGTGCGATAACTCAGCGCAACCTGGAACATTACGCGAAATTGCAGCCAACCATTCGTGAGCAATTATTCGTGAGCACGGCAGGCGAGTCACGCAAAATGTTGGCACTCCCAAGTATTGCAAGGTTGTTGTCGGTATCGACGAATTGAATAAAATAATAAAAATTGCATTGTATTGTTCGAGCGCAGAGACGAATGTCGAGACGAATGCCGGATTCGCCGTCGAGCGTCGAGTATCGAACCGGTTGTTGGCTTCAGGATCGCGTTTCGAGCGTCGCCCGCAAGTGTAAATAATGGCTTGTGAAAATTCGAAACGACTTGCCGCTCGTCGGCGGCGCCCCCGCGAAGGGGCGAAATTCTCCCGCGCAGCTAAGGTAAAAACGCGTTAGGCGTGATGAGTTTACTTAGGGGGGTATCTCGGCACTTGGGCCGCACCTGTTTCATCTGCTCGAATACATATATATATATATATATGTGCTGGCCTTTGTTCCATATTCTAGATTCTAGGTTCGACCCTCCTGCAACATAGCATCCCGAAGTTCGATATCCGACCTTCTGCCACATGTTCGACTTTCCCTCTAAATCTAAACGGCGCCGCAAAACAGTCCTAATGGAAGGCCCCGTTCTAGTAGCGGCGCACTGTCCACGTCGCCGCTTCGAGCCAAAGCGCCACCGCCCGTTGCATTGCCCGGCAAGTTTAGGATCATAGGGTCGAGGACCCCCGAGGCGATGCATCACCGAAAAGGGATGCATATGCGAAGAATGCCACCTCAGGTGGATAGCGCGTGCTTGCCTTTGCTTCATTATCTCATATGACCGTGCTCCTCCTGTTTTGATAGCGCCTCTCCTATTAGTCTTTGGCGTCGGCGCCACACAATCAAGGTTCGCCCCCCCCCTGCCCCAGGATTGATTGCAGCGCCAGGAAATAGTTACCAAGGGGGCAACGGTCAGATAAGCCAGGTTGTTCGAGCGTTAGGTTGGCGTTTTCAGTCAAGGTGCTGTTGGGCGTTAGGTTAGTGCGTTCGAGCACTTGGGTGTTGTTGGGCGTTGTTGGGTGTTCGGTTTTGTTGGGCGTTCGCCTCGGGCGTTCTGGCAGCTGCGTGTTGCTGGGTGTTCGGTAAGGCGTTTGTTGGGTGTTGTGTTAGGGGGTTCGGTTCAAGTGTGGGTTAGGTTGCTCCATCCAGTTCGAAGCTTGAACGCTGGACTTGGGTTGCGATTATGTTCCACGCGCCGAAGATTGTGCCGATTGAAGGGTTATTCATGGGAAGTACGCGTACTCACTGTATTCAACGAAAGTACATAAAACGATGTGAAACATGCTATGTGATGTGGGAACTTACATTACCTTTGTTAAACCAGCCGGAAAAATCCAAACTTGCCACGCCAACCACACGGATAGCACGGAAGGTGCAGGCCCTGGGGGGGGGCTCGACGAACCCAGGGCAAGAGGGGAGGCAGGGAAAGGGGGCGACAGAGACGACGACCAACGAATGACGGAGATGACGACTTGAACGGACAAGCCCCTCACGCGCGCCGACAGGGTCGGCGGATTCGGGGTGGGCGGGGGGGCCGTGGAGGAGGCGAGTTCACGCGTGAGTTCGCCCCCGGGCGGCGGATCGTCCTCTGGCGCTCAGACGATGCGCGCCGGCACGAGAGGGTGGCCCTGGCGTTCGTCCGCGACGGGGCCTGGGTCATCGTCGCGCCCGACGGCCGCCAGCACGTGGAGATTATCCACTGCCGCCGCAGGTCGGGCGGCGCCGCGCAGGGGCCGCTGTTCGACCCGGCCGTGGAGCGGCCCGCTCGACTCCAGGAGCGTTTCTAACAGGTTCAAGGAGGGGCTCTCGAATTCGGACTCGGCGGAGCAGATCAAGACGGCGGAGGGCGAGGCCTACGCTCGAACCCGCAAGACGCGCGATCCCCCGTCCAGTTTCGTCTTGCGGGGCGGCGCCCACACGGTGTGCCAGACGGCCATGGACTCGGAGGGTGCGGAGCTCGAGCCTCTTGTCGATGGCCGCGCGGCCGCGCCGAGCACCGACGCGGACCGAACGTTCCCGGTGGTGGGGCGGGCGAGACTCGGCTCATTGGTGGCCTGTTCCACCCGGACTTTTGGGGATCAGCGGGGCCCGCTGCCCTCGGCCCCAGCCGCCGGGCCGCGCGCCTTGGCCGCGGACAGCAGCGGGCGGCCCGGCGTGGTGAATGCAGGTGAAGAACTTCGAGGCGGGCGGCTTTTTCGAGGCAGCCCGCAGGCTCCTGGGCGACGGAAAGACCGCTGACCGAGCTGAGCGCAAGGATGGTGGCCAGGAGGCCCGCCTCCGACAGGCTCTGGACGGGGGCGCGGCCATTCCCGTCTCTGGCGCGGGCGCCTGGATTCCCTCCGCGAATGTCGATGGGCACGGCGAGCGGTTCAAGGCTTGGCGCGACGCGTGCGCAGAGGTACCCCGCAAACGCCGCGCCGACCGGGAGCGCGTCCGCGAGGGGCTCCCGACCGCCCTGACGCTCTTCAAGAACTCATGCCGTCAGCGAGGCGACCCTCGTCTGCGGTTCCCTTTCGGGGCGCGAGTCGGGGGCTAGCACCTGGGGCGCGCGGGCGTCGAGGTGGAGCTGCTGACGACGTCCTGCACTCGAGCGAGGCCTACGACCAAGTGAACGGCCCGCCCCGGGCGCGCGCCGAGGCGGCGAGTCGTCGCACGCGCCGAACGATAGAGGCGCGCGCCGCGGGGTCCCAGGCCGCGCCACTTGGGAGGGCGCGAAGTACTTCGCCCCGTCGACAACGGCCCCCATCGGCGGCGCCGCCCGAGACGCGCGCCCACGCCCACCGCCGCGCCGAGGAGGAGTTCGAGATCGAGCCTGGCCCAGGGTCAGCAGGGCGGCGCCGACGGCGACGGCAAGCAGGCGCCCGCCCCCTCTGGGGCGGGGCAGCGGCGATGCCCCCCGCCAGCGATGCGATGGCCATGGCGATGGCACTCGCCCTGTTCCCACGCTGCCCCCCGCCCAGATCCCGCTGCAGCCCCTCCCAGATTCTCCGCGGGGGCAGGGCCGCCAGGCGACCCGGTTGCGCGGCTGCGCGGCCGCATCAGGCGGCGCTTGCAGGCGCCGACGCTACCGTGAAGGCTTTGGAATGGTTGACAGGGGATCGCCATCGCCCGCGACATGGGCATGCGATATTTCCTGAGCAGGTTGGAGTGCATGCGCGAGTCTTGTTGCTCATTTAGATTCTGGAGCTGCGACCCCTTGTCAGCGAGCGGTTTTCCGCGAGCTGCCGCGCGGCCGAGCTGTCTACGACGCCGAGCACGGCGGGCGCAGCCATGCAAGTTTCTCCAGCGTCGCGGCGGCGAGCCTGCTGGACAGTCCAGCGTCGCGGCGGCGGGCCTCCCGGACAGCCGCGACGGGGCGCGCGCGGCGCGCGAGGTCGCGGCGCGCCGCGCGAGCCGGGGCCCGGAGCAGAACGACGAGCGCACGTTGCGCCCGTGCTCCGACTTCGAGGCGGCAGGAATCGTTCCCGCCGATCAGCCCCCATTGAGTTCCCGCGCTCGCCCGCGGCCGCCCGCCGTAAGTTATCGCGGTTGCCCCGCGCCCCTCATCGCGCCGGTCCGGCAGTGATGTCGCCCGCCGGAGCCGCTCGCGAGAAAATCAAATCGCCCCCAATATCAAAAACTGGATACACCGAGGCCATCTCGCTATCGACGTTTGTCAAGCCAATACGGGGTGCGCCGACCCCCCGAGGGCGCCTTTGCCCCAGCGACGGCGCGGCCAGGATTGAGGACGCTCTCCATCCAGGCCGCAAGTCTCTCACTCCCGAGCTCGCTCAATCCCCCCAGCTGTCTCCCTCTATCCCCCCCCCCGCGTGTGTGTGTGTGTGCGTGTGTGTGCGTGTGTGTGTGCGTGTGTGCGTGCGTGTGTGTGTGTGTGTGTGTGTGTTTTTCTTTTTCTTTTTTTTATTTCCCTCTCGCGTCTCTCTCGCTCTCCCTCCCACTCTCTCCTTCCTCTCTTTCTCACGTCGTTCCACGCCTCTGCTCTCCTCTCTCGTCTCAAACTCTCCTCTCTCATCACTCTCTTTCGTCACACGACTCTTTCTCTCTCTCATTCTCTCTCACTCTCTCTCTCTCCTCTCTCTCTCTCTCATCTCTCTCTGATGTCTCTTTCCTCTTTTCCTTGTTGGGCCCTCCTAGGCTACTCTCTCTGTCTTCTCTCTCATCTCTCTTATCTCTCATCTTTCTCTCTCTCTCCTCTCTCTCTCTTCTCGCTCTCCAATCGAAAAACAGTCTCTCTCTCGCTCTCCCTTTTCTCTCTCTCTCTCTCTCTCTCTCTCTCTCTCTCTCTCTCTCTCTCTCTCTCTCTCTCTCTCTCTCTCTCGCTTTCTCTCTTTGATGTGTTTTCTCTCTCTCTCTCTCTCTCTCTCTTTCATTGCGTATGTGTCTCTCTGTCTCTCTCTCTCTCTCTCTCTCTCTCTCTCTCTCTCTCTCTCTCTCTCTCTCTCTCTCTCTCTCTCTCTCTCTCTCTCTCTCTCTCTCTATATATATATATATGTATATATATGTTCTCTCTCTCTCTCTCTCGTCTCTCTCTCTCTCTCTCTCTCCTTTTCTCTGTTCCTTTCTTTCTTTTTTTCTCTCTCTCTCTCTCTCTCTCTCTCTCTCTCTCTCTCTCTCTCTCTCTCTCTCTCTCTCTCTCTCTCTCCCTCTCTCTCTCTTTCTCTAGTCTCGGCTCGAGAGTGCCCTGCACTCATAGCGTAGCCGCGACGCGAAGCGCCCCGCCTGGAGCCCCGACTCCAGGCCTCGCGAGACCGGAGCCGCGCCAGCAGCGCGGTACCGATTTGCGTCACCTCTTCCCTCCCACCAGAGCGCCCGCCGCAATGGCCCCCGCCAAGCCGGAGCGCCGTCGCTCTTCCAAGCAGCCGCCGAGCTCACGTCCTGCAGCTGAAGGATCCCTTCTCCAACGCAAACAGGACTGCATTGCAGCCTTCAAGCAAGCGGGGTCTGACCGCCCCACAGCCGCATACAACAGGCTCGCCGAGCTGAACGCGGACGAGCTGCAGGCCACGTACGACATGCACAAGAACAACACCAAGAAGCTCGGCAGTGCCTTGATTCGCATGTGTGCCGCAAACCAGATCAGCTACACGCTGGATCACCACCAGCGCAGCAAGTCTAAGCGCAACGGTGGTGACACATCCTATCCACCAGCGGCGTCCGCACGTCTTCAGGCTGCGGACGCCAAATTTATTGCCTTGGACCCGGCCTTCTGGAAGGTCCCAGTCCTGGCCGAACCCGCATCACTCGACGACGGCAAGACGTACAAGCCCAGCATCAGCCTCCACGACTACGAGAGTGGCGAGCGGCTGCTGCAGCACCATCTCGAGCAGGGTAAGCGTACCACGGGTCAGCTCGCCATCGCTGTCATGGGCCCGAAAAACGACAACTATGTCGGCACCGAGCTCGCCGTCCCCGTGCTGAAGCGCCACCCCAAGGCGCCCAATGTGGTTCACACGCACGTCCCCGTGACCGTGTACCAGCTGGGCACCAAGGAAGTTGCCTGCACGGAAAAAGTAGCCGTCGCCACCATTGATCCTGCCGACCACGTATGCTGGATTCGGGTGACCATACATGAAACCGAAGCCATCGCCGCAGTCCCCTCCATGCATCAGGCCTTCGAGGATCAGTTTTCGGGAGGCGCCCCCGTGAACGGTGGTCCACGCGCCAAGGGTCCTTTCCGAGGGGATCCCGCTCCACAGGACAAGGCGCGCCAAAACCAAAAGCACAGGGAGTCTAAGAAAGACGCTCGCCGCCAGGAGCTCGACAGTCAGCTGCAGGACACCTTCAAGGCCCTTTTCCACGGCAACTTTAAAGCCGTCACTATCCTCGAACCCTGCAAAAGTCTAGGCAGGTACGGATCTGGTGTCGGAAAAAGGCCCCTGGCTGCCACTTTCGGCGTCAGTCTTCAAGCAGTCGACAAGGTCTTGGCGGGTTCGGGGCAACTCGGCGCCACCTACGACCTCAGCAACGTAGGCGCGGACGAGACCACGGCAGACAAGTACCAGACCGTGTGGTTTCCCGAGGACCAGCCCATCACGATGGCAGAGGCGTTCCAGAAGTCGGTGGACTTCAAAGCCCTAGGAGTCGTCAGGCACAGCAAGTCAGGCTTATTGGGGATCCGTGTTGCACGTGGGTCAGACGCCGCCAAGGCCGCTGCCGTCAGCATCCGTGGCTGCGAAGCCACTCTCGCCAAGACGCGATACCGCATCACGGGCATTGCGGCACGCCATGCCACGCTGACTCAGCTTGCCAAGACTCTCACGGGCCCGTCCGACAAATGGGACTGTGAGGTCTACCACACCGCCTGGGACCCAGCCACTTCGGCGCAGTTTGCCTTGGTGCGCGCTCATCGTCCCCCACCCACATATACGGTACAGGTCGCAGGGTGCCCTATCCCGTGGAGCATCACCGAGGCCCCGTTGGCTGAGGTCGTGCCGAAGAGGGATAACGTCACCATTGTCACCCCTACAACTATCACAGAGCCTGTGACGCCGCCCGCCCGTGGTGGCGGCTTCAGCCCCGCCACGGGCACACTCCTAATCAAAGCGGCCCAGAGCCCCTACCTCCACGACCTCATGACTGCCACGCCCAAAGGCAAGGGCGTCGCACCGCTCCCGATCCCCAAGGAGGAGCCTTTAGCCAAGCGCCACCGATCCTCCAGCGGGAAACGCGACGCCACGCCGCACGCAGGATCACACGGCGCTCCAGGCCGCAGCTCCTCTGCACCCCCGCACGGCACGGATGGAGCTACCGAGCAGACGGCCGTCCAAGGACCAGGAGGGGACGGTTACGACCCGCAACCTGGCATGGGGGCGGCCGAAGGTGGGGGCCACACGGAAGGGCACGCTGACGCAGCCGCCGAGGTACCAGGCGACGTCGAGATCCTCTCATCAGAGGACGAATTCAGCGCGGCATCGCGCGAACCAAACATTCTCGGCGAACGCTTCGCTACGGCCCCTAAACTGTCAGATGCCGCTACGACCCGCATCCAACACATGGAACAACAGCACGAGCTGCTTGCCAACACGGTGGACAACATGCAGGTCCAGCTTGCGGGCGTTCTCTCATCCCAGGCCACACTCACGGAGCACGTTACAGGCTTGGAACGAGGGCTCGCCACCGTCGTCACTCAGCAACAGACGGCAACTACCGAAGCTGCTGCACTGCGTGGCGACATCCAGGCCCTCCTCGGGCACCTCACGGGGGGCACCATCCACCTGCCACAGGTGGCCACCCTCGAAACCAAAAAGGAGGAAGCTGCACCAGTTGCCGATCCCGTGGCTGTCTGCGGGTGGATCGACCAGCCAGGCCAGGTCACCCCAGGGACGGGCCCCCCAGGGGCTGACAAAGGCAAAGACAAAGGGCGGGTCACACAGGAACCCTATTGAAGGTGCCTCAGAGAGCCCGCCTCAGCCCTCCGAGGAAGCGCCTTCAGAGGCATCCCTTTTCACTTCTCGTCGTACCTCCTCCTTGCTATATCATGTCATTTTTG